TATACTTTGGGAGCAGCCATCACTCCAACAGCAAAATTCATTTCTCACACCTGCCTAGACTTCATGCTAAAGGAGTAATTTTAGTGAATCATTTCGAAAAAGGAAACACTCGGAATTTGAAAGTCCAGAGTGTGTTTGAAGGCACACGTAAATACGATAGCATATTTAAATCTCACTCAGCCTACCACATTTGTGTGATATTTTAGTACAGTGTTCTGTCCTGGAATGGGATCACACATTTAGTTAGCTCTCGTGCTGAGTGAGCGTGGAGACACAACCATCTGTGGCGGTTGATGCTCCAACAGGGCCACTGAGGAGGCTTCATGTTGTCAGGGAGTATCCTGGGTAGCAAGCTAGCCCTCTGCTCCTCCTCCTCAATAACACTTCAGAAGAGTGTGTGTAGCCCGATTGTACTGGTGCCTCCTTTTAGGCAAATTGTTTAAGGTCATTATGAGTTGAATTCTCAAGCACTCCAGAAGGAAGATTGTAACTGTTGCCCTCTCGTTGTCAAAGGACGCTGTGATTAATTACAGCCATGCTAGATGTAGCTATGAAAATGGAGATTTTCGGGCTGGCTTAAAGGAGATAACGTCCATCCCAGAGGCGGTGACAGTGACCCCCTGATCGTGCCCGATACTGGGATTCACTTCCAGGCTGATAGAGGTTAAAGACTGAAGGTTTTCATCTTGAGATTAGGTTTTCATTTTAACTTCGCTTCTGCCTGTGTGTGTGTGTGTGTGTGGGTACACGTGTGTGCGCATTTGTATGGAAGCCAGATGTGAATTTGTTCCTTCAGTGTCATACGCCTTATTTTGTTGACACAGGTCCCGTCACAGTGACGGGCAGCTAACTGTGTATTAGACCGGCTGGCCAGCAAGCCCTAGTGGGCCTCCTATCCCTGTCTCTCCAGCGCTGGACTTACTAGCACACAGCGCAGTCATCAGATTTTTTTTTTTTAATATTATGCTAGGAATCTGAACTCAGATGTCCATGCTTACATGGCAAGCACTGTACTGACTGAGCCATTTCCCAAGTCCCTTAAGCTGACATTTTTATAACTTAAAATATTTAGAAGGTCCCCCACTGAAATAATGTGCTTTATAAGTACAATACAAGAAAAAAAAAGTAAGGATACTTTGTTTAGGGAAACAGAAGTTAGGTTTACAGTGGATGTGAGGCTTGTCCACTGTAGTTTATTTCCAATGCCCAAAGAAGGCTTGCTTGAAAGGGACAAGAGTAACCAAGAGATGTGTTAGTATCCTTTGAAATTTTATGTTTTGAATAACAGTAACTAATATTTGGGAAAACTAAGAATGTTTAATACCTTGCCAGGCCAAGTGGCATACCTGTCGTGGAAAAGCCAAAGTAGGAGAACTGCTCAAACGGAGGACTTGTATTCCACTGTAATACCCACATCCATGGGTGGACAAACACTCACTCACACTCAGATACCTTGGTTTGTGTTACAATGTAGAGGGAAAAAAATTCCTAGCACAAACTCATTATATGACAGTTTGAAGACACAGGAAAGATATGACAGATAGTATTTGTGTGGATAAAGAGAAAAATTAAAACGACCAACCCTCACTGGGTCTTACAGTGCTTCCAGATGCTCCCAGATGGTGGCATGTTTGGCATGGAGACCCACACAGTGTTGACAGTGATGACATGCTTGATTTTTATCTGGGGGAGGGGGAGGGAGCGTTGGTGTCATATAACCATCCTCACAAACCAAAGCAGCAAAATCAGAAACCAGTAGCAGGTTGCAGGTGAGCAGAGATGAGTTCCAGACCCCATCTTTTGTTATTCAGGCCCCAGCCCCTGGCCACACCGGATATCCAGCCCAGAACTCTGGTGCCTTAGCCAGAGGAACGCTGCAGAGATAAAAAGGGGTTAGTGAATGCAGTAAAGAACTGAAGTACAGATTAAAATGGATGCAGACTGAAATACAAACAGATGGGGCAATAATGTGGGCAGTATTGTGGAAACTACACAGTCTTTCATGGTTATTCATGATATGGAACAACCTCAGGAATTTTTTTTTTTTAGAGAGGGTAAACCTGAAAGTGGGGCTGGGGTGGGGGTGGGGCAGCCTTCTAAAAGCCATTGTGAGAAACCCAAAAGCCCTCATGAAATCATTCAAATGGTACAAATGCTCTTGTCTTCCCCTCCCCCTTTAGTACAGTTCTCGTATTAACTGAGAATTTCGTATATTTGTAGGATATGATTTGATCATATTCATTCCCGGACTCTTCCTCCAACTTCTCCTCAGGAATCCACCCCTCTGCCTCTCCCAACTTTGTATTTTTTTTTAATAACCCACCGAGTCTATTTTGTGATGCCCACACAGAGAGAGAGAGAGATGGGGCCATACACTGAAGTGTGGTTGACCTACCAAAGCTTCTTGCACAGCAAACAATGCATATATGAGCTGAATTACTTGACCCTATCAATTATCAGGTTGGTTTGCTCTCAGACCTCCCTGCAGACTTGAGAAAAGATACTTGTGATATCCGCTGTTGCTTCTTTCCAAAGCATCCTGCAAGCTGTGGCCGAACTCCCCTCGGCAGGGAGCAACTGATGGAGAGGGGTCCCTTGTCAGAAGAGGGAAGGGCAGGGAGCCTCCAGCTGGCTGGTTCACAGTCCAGGAAAATCACTGCACAGTGCCTCGGGGATCCAGCCCAACTTCTGTGTTTGCAGATGGACAGAGCAGATGCAGGGGGGTTTGAAAGCCCAGTGGCAGGCTGCACCTAGGCCTTGTCAGTCCTGGAGGTCAGGCTCTGAAACGCCTGGGACTTCCGGTGTGGACACACACACACACACACACACACACACACACACACACACTGCCTTGGTATGCACAAGTTTCTGCCATGATACAATGTAGTGGTTTTCTTTCTCCTTATAGACTATCTGATAGGGCAGAAAATGCAGGTCCACTTCATCTCCTATGGGCCTCTGCCCTTTCTCATTATTTGTAACTCACCACTCTGAAGTATTTTCCCCAAAAAAAACCTCATTTCTTTAAGACTGACACCACACCTCTCCGTGGACCTCACACCTTTCCCCTTGAACAGCTAGTTAGAAAAGTTGAGGCCTCAGGGAATGTTCTGCTTGGAATGCAATTAGCATTGGTGATAGGATGCAAAAGCTAATTTTACACAAATGTATATGTATATCATATACATACCTGTGCACACATGTATTGTGGTTTAAAGTGATGTGTTTGGGTCTCAGGGTGACAAGGGATAGACAGCGTAACTGGACTGAGGATCTTCTGGCTGAAGCACAGCCCTGGGTATTTCCATAGACAATTAACTGAAGACAGAAAACATGCCCTTCACCCCTATTAGTGAATAAAAAGGGGTGAGGGGAAAGCCAGCCCAATCCTACCTCCACTGTGCCCATCTTCATCCCTGATTGACTGAACAAACTTGAACAGTGAGCTAAAATCAGTCCTCCCTCCCTTAAGTTATTCTTTCAGGTATTTTGCTCCCAGGAACAAGCAAGCTATGGTTGTATTGTAAATACAGGTGTTACAGATGTGTGTGTGTGTGTGTGTGTGTGTGTGTTATGTTATGTTTATATAGAAATATGGTATATATGTCTTACTTTGTTTTCTGTTGCTGTAACAGAATGTCTGACGCTACGTAGTTTACAAAGGAAAAGAGGCTTATTTTAGCCAGCCATCCTAGAAATCCAAAAACATAGCACGAGCGTCCACTTGGGTTCTGTTAAAAGCCTCAAGACAAGAAGTAGAAGAACAAATGATTAGAAAGGGTCAAAGAACAGCCCTGTGAGAGCCTGACCTTGAGGTTCCTGTGAGAACTCTTTCAATCTGTTGGAACATGATCCCTCTTAAAGGCTCCACCTCCTTATACTGTTACATTGACAACCAAATTTCATCCTAGGTTTTGGCAAAACAAACCATATATATATATATATATATCCAATCACCTCAAGCTGTTCATTTGTCAGTTCTAAAAGTGAAGGTTAAAATGTGGCCATGGACTGTCAAGGTGGTTGGTTCCATTTAATTTTTAACAATGTAAACATCCGTTGAGAGTTTCGTTGCGTACAGACTACCATCCCCACAAAGCTTCCACAGAAGGCCTTAAACGACCATCTCTTCTCTTCAGAGTTCTGTCTGCAGACACTGCAAAGTAGAGTTCAGTGAGCACCACGCTTGCATTGCAGCGGTGAGTGCCGGCCCGTGGATATATGTCTCATGTCACAGACAGTAACAGCCAGATCTCGTCCGAGATCCCGGACATGGCACGCAGCCATGAGAAGACAGATTGCAAGGACACAGTGCTAGATTTACAACTGAAATACAATGTCCAGACCATTGGATATGTGGTAGGAAAGAACTCTAAAGTCCGGGCCAGTTACCCAGATGTTATCAAAAGAAAACAACGCTCTAAAAAATGGCAAGTTTTCAGTACTTGGCCCAAAGCAATGATCATATTTGTAACCTCCTGCTAGTTCAACTCATTAATAATTTACAGTAATGTGGGCTCCAACTTCTACTTAACTGCACTTCAAAGGGTTAGAGGCACGTTTACCACTGTTTTATTTAATGTAGTTATGATTAATTCACTAAGTAATTACTGTTTTCTTTGTCCTTTTGGAGGAGGAGCTTGGAGTGATTTATACAGAGTGTTGTGTTTATCACTGGAAAGTCTTTAAAGCAAGCATGTTTTGAGCTCTCTCTCTCTCTCTCTCTCTCTCTCTCTCTCTCTGTTGCTCTTAGTTTACAAAATTTAATTGAAACAGCTTTGGACAAATGCCAGGCTGCCTTTCTGCTTAATCAAACCTTGTGAAAGAGCAATTCATCTATTACCTTGTACTTGTATCTAAGAATTTGCTAAATTAATTTACTGACAAAGAGAATCAATCACCGTAAACCGTGTTTGAACAATCCTGGGACCACCGACGGGTGGGAAGTGGCTAGCCCTGGAATGAGGAGATGTGTTCCATCTCACTTTGTTTTGTGACAGGTCAATGGGCGAAACCTCCTCTCAGTGGACTTTGACCGGACCACCAAGACCGAAAAGATCTACGATGACCATCGGAAATTCCTCCTGAGGATCGCTTATGACACGTCGGGGCACCCAACTCTCTGGTTGCCTAGCAGCAAGCTGATGGCCGTCAACGTCACCTACTCATCCACCGGACAGATCTCCAGCATCCAGAGAGGAACGACCAGCGAAAAAGTGGACTACGATGGGCAGGGGAGGATTGTATCTCGGGTCTTCGCTGATGGGAAAACGTGGAGTTACACATACCTGGAGAAGGTATGCCTCTGTTGTGGTGTTCGGGTGGGATGATGAGTATTTTCCAACACTCCCCCAGAGCTCGATGAGGAGAGGAAGCCGCAACACGTGACTGGGCGCCATTTATTATTCTAAGTATCGCCGTGGCAGTCACAGGGGTACAGGCTGATGAATTTCTGTATTAGCAGAAGAGTTTCGCCTTAGTTAAGTTCTACTATCTGAGACCCTTTTAAGTGATTTATGCTGTAAACAAACAAGCACTAACGCTATCCACCTGCCAAGCGCATACACTGACAACATTCACAAATTAGACCCAGAGCTTGCAAGTCATTTGTAAATAATTTCTGCTCCGGCTCTTTCATTTAGGAGAGAGCTTGCATTAGCACAGTTAAAACTGTCAGTCGTGTGTTGTCTCTGGCAGGGCTTCAAAATAACCATAAAAAGCATGTAGGGCCTATTTATGCATTATTAAGCAGAAGAGGCTATTTTCCTGGAAAGCCACACTCTCAGATCCTGCGTGGTGTCTCTCTTTCATTTGCATGTAAGAGATAAAGCATCATAACTTGGGCTCTTTCCCATTCTTCAGATCTGTGCACAGCACCACAGATGGAGATTTAGAGCTGCACGTGGCAGTGAGCTAAGCTGTGCAGCCTGAAGTTGGGGTGAGGGTCAAGAAGCATGGAAAGGCCAAGGGTGGGGGTGGGAAATGGGACTGGACCATTTCCTACAGCTCACCTCCTAAGGAACAGAATCCACCAAAGAGCTTTTTTGCAGATGTTTCATCTGCCTCTGAGGCAAGCATCATCCATAGGAAACGACTTGGTTTTGAGGTCTTACAGGCCTCAACTCTTCCGCCAGCATACTCCCCGTCACATGGCGCCTGAGTTGCAGCCTCAGCTCTTGACATTCACTGCCTCCAGCCGTGTGGACGTTAAAAGTTATGCACAGAAATGTTTGTCCTCCAGGACAGTTATGAGCCATGCAAATTGCTGCCACATTCACCTCAGCAATTCTCTACCAGAGATCTCTACAGAACACCTTACAGCCCTCTTTACCAGGAGCATATCTACCTCACAGGCCCCTGAATCAGACGCAGAGCTCAAGGTAGGATGCCACAGTCTTAAGGCAGCCTACCAACTCTAAATACTTCCAGCAAGGATCCTCCTGGCCAGGCTGTGTTTCTGCTCCTTAGCAGAGATTCACTCTGGACCATGGACTATACCTGTTTGATTACAGACTCCTTCTAGCCCATCATCACACGATAGCCACTGAGCAGCTGTTTGGAGACCATGGAGTAAGCTCCCTGTACACAGGCTTGTCTAGGAATGTATCTTGCTACCTGAGAGATACTTCAGACTCCAATCTAAGCAGCCCCAGGGGGACTTCTCCAAGCACAAGGGGAAGAGACGGGAACATTGACCCCGTTTAGACTAAGCACATTACGTAGAGTAGAAATACCCAACCCTCACAAAACAACAGTGATAACTGTTATTGTCACAGTGTGGCCTAAAGTGTTTAAAGGAGAGCCAAAAGGGTTGTTCAGGCCTTCCTCAGAAAAGTACAAGCCATGTGTTAGTCAGCTTTCTGTAACTGTGACAAAATGCCTGAGGTGATGACCCGTTCTGAAGAAAGATTTTAGCTCTCAGCTTCAGAGGATTCAGCCCACCATCACTTGGCTTCACTGTTACAGGGAAGATAAGCATAACAGGGAGATAAGGTAGCGTAATAATGAGCATGCATCAGGCAAAGTCGTTCATCTCACGACAACCAGGAGGTAAAGAGAGTACAAGGAAGACCTGAGGGTCCCAATGTCCCTTCAAAGGCACATTCCCAGTGACGTAATGGGTCTTCCCAACTTCCCGGTAGTACCACAGGCTGGTAACCAACTCCTCGACAGATGGTCTTTAGGGGACATTTCAGATCTGTAATAACCTCCAGGTAAAAAATTTTGCCAGCTCATGGCCAGAGAAGAGTCTTCCGGAACCTACATCTTAAGAACCATTTTTGACTAGAGTACGAAATGGAAACAAGGAGTCTTGACAAAAGATTATTATGCATTTGCATGCCAGAATCAAGAGTCTGTCCTCACGGTCCTTCCTGTTGGCTATGGGGTCAGAGGAAACTTTATCACAGGGAGAACCTCCCCAGGCCTGCATTACAGTTGGGCCTCACTCAGCCGACCCCACGGTTGACCTTCTCTCATGGTGCTTCAACAAGCTGATGCCGTCTGTCTTTCTGTACTCAACCTGGGTGAGGACAGTAGAGATTATTTTTATTTGTAGATCTATTTTTTTCATAATTCAATACCAACACTTAGAGAACCTAGAAACCATTATGGGAGTACCAGAAGGGTAATTCAGATTTGGTGTCTGCAAAAGGAATTATTGAAATGTAGAGTCATCTGTACAGATCCCGGATTTAGACACCATGTCTAAATCCATATTTCCATGAAGGGCATGTACGACTCTGATTCACCGTGGGGCTAATTTAGCCCTGTTTGTTGACATTGATGCTTTATGTACACATTATTCATTTCAGGCTAATTTTATGTCTCTTCTTCATAAATATTTTGGCTTTGTTCCTCCCCCAAACACACAGGAAATTAAAGCCTGATTTGAGTGGCTCTTTAGTCAAACGAGGGGGAAAGCCACCTTACTAAATAATTGCTAATTATAGATAGGATTGCATTTCCCCTCTGCTATTTTCCCCTTGAAATATTGTCTTCAAACCAGCTTGTTTCGTGCCTGCGCTGTGGCTTCTCCAAGTCCATTGACAATCTGCTGGTTGGCTGGGGAAGCCTGGGAAAAGAATGGCGCAATCATGACAAGTAGCACATTATGAATCTTAAGCCACTGACTGCGGAACCCTTCACAATTAAGCATCTAAGCAAATTAGGCAGGGGATCGTTAACGCCGGGTAAGGTCAAGGATAACCCAATTAAAACGAAAACCATTTTCTCGGGTGGAATGTTCCCATGTGTCTGTGGTCACTAAATCTGCTTTTGTGCCGCCTCGCCCCCGTTCCTCCCTCCCCCCCCCCCCCGCCGCCCCAATTCACAAACCCCGGATGACAGCCTGTGTTCTCTTCACAGTCCATGGTCCTTCTGCTCCATAGCCAGCGGCAGTACATCTTCGAATACGATATGTGGGACCGCCTGTCTGCCATCACCATGCCCAGTGTGGCTCGGCACACCATGCAGACCATCCGGTCCATTGGCTACTACCGCAACATCTACAACCCCCCGGAGAGCAATGCCTCGATCATCACGGACTACAACGAGGAAGGGCTGCTTCTGCAAACAGCTTTCCTGGGAACAAGTCGGAGGGTCTTATTCAAGTACAGAAGGCAGACCAGGCTATCGGAAATCTTATACGATAGCACAAGGGTCAGTTTTACCTACGATGAAACAGCGGGAGTCCTGAAAACAGTAAACCTTCAGAGCGATGGGTTTATTTGCACCATTAGGTACAGGCAAATCGGCCCCCTGATTGACAGACAGATTTTCCGCTTTAGTGAAGATGGGATGGTAAATGCAAGATTTGACTATAGCTATGACAACAGCTTTCGAGTGACCAGCATGCAGGGTGTCATCAATGAAACCCCACTGCCCATTGATCTATACCAGTTCGATGACATTTCTGGCAAAGTCGAGCAGTTTGGAAAATTTGGGGTTATCTACTATGACATCAACCAGATCATCTCCACCGCCGTCATGACTTACACGAAGCACTTCGACGCTCACGGCCGAATCAAGGAGATCCAGTATGAGATATTCAGGTCGCTCATGTACTGGATTACAATTCAGTATGATAACATGGGCCGGGTCACCAAGAGAGAGATTAAAATAGGGCCCTTTGCCAACACTACCAAATACGGGTATGAATACGATGTTGATGGACAGCTCCAAACGGTCTACCTGAACGAGAAGATCATGTGGCGATACAATTATGACCTGAACGGGAACCTCCACCTCCTGAACCCCAGCAGCAGCGCCCGCCTGACGCCCCTTCGCTACGACCTGCGGGACAGAATCACCCGTCTGGGGGACGTTCAGTACCGGCTGGATGAAGACGGCTTTCTGCGTCAGAGGGGCACGGAAATCTTCGAATACAGCTCCAAGGGGCTCCTGACTCGAGTCTACAGTAAAGGCAGCGGCTGGACGGTGATCTATCGGTACGACGGCCTGGGAAGGCGCGTGTCCAGCAAAACCAGCCTGGGGCAGCACCTGCAGTTTTTTTACGCCGACCTGACCTACCCCACTCGGATTACTCACGTCTACAACCACTCAAGTTCAGAAATCACCTCCCTCTACTACGACCTCCAAGGACATCTTTTCGCCATGGAGATCAGCAGCGGGGACGAGTTCTACATCGCCTCGGACAACACGGGCACGCCGCTGGCTGTCTTTAGCAGCAATGGGCTCATGCTGAAACAGATCCAGTACACCGCCTACGGGGAGATCTACTTTGACTCCAACATTGACTTTCAGCTGGTAATCGGGTTCCATGGAGGCCTGTACGACCCGCTAACCAAATTGATCCACTTCGGAGAAAGAGATTATGACATTTTGGCAGGACGATGGACAACACCGGACATCGAAATCTGGAAAAGAATCGGAAAGGACCCGGCTCCTTTTAACCTGTATATGTTTCGGAATAACAACCCTGCAAGCAAAATTCATGATGTGAAAGACTACATCACAGGTAAGATGACTTTTTTTTTTCCTTTCCAAGTGCTAAATTACTGTTACCGTTACATTAATACACAAAGTAACTAGACTTGACCTTTTGGATGCATTCATTTCTCTACGGATCCATAGAGAAACCACAAAGGGAATATGAAATACAGTTACTTCCTACTCTGCCTGACTATGCTCAAGGCCATAGTTTCAGAAATGACATGGAATTCAATCATCTAAGGAACAGAAGAGATACAGAGAGCAGAAAACATGCTAAATTCAGATTCCCAAAATTGAAATACCAATCTTGTTTCATCTCTACAGCGCTGTGGGCTTTATAGTCTAATTTTGGTTTGTTTTTTTTTTTTTTTTTTTTTTTTTTTTT